ACTATAACATATGCTATAATAGGACAATTATATTTTTAATATTTTCTATCAGCAATGACTATATAATTATTCACTCATGCTGAAATGATTCCAATATTTCCAACAGTTTGATAAAACATTTTATTCTTTGTTGCATAGGTACACGTTTTATTCCATGTAATAAGACTGTCACCATACTTTTCTCTTCTTCTATATCTGGCGTGGAAGTTGTACTGTTCAGCAATGCTGGCAAAGGTGAACAGGCTGCAGTAACAGCCTGTGATGATTCCATAATTAGAGAATTCACATCAAGACTTATATTCTTTCTTTTTCTGATATCTGTTTTAGGCACTTTGAGGTTATGTTTATTTGCTGGATCAATATTCTCGCTATCTGAAATTTATTTAGAAGTGTTAAGAATGTAATTAATGATTAAGTTTTCTGTGGAAAATAGTAATTTATCAATCACTTGCCTTCAGAAATATGAATAAAATATATGAATAAAATTTTTATTGCAAGTAAGCGATTTTGCTGATAATTTCTTTATCACTGATCCTTGTGATACTGATGAAATTTGTGAAGGTGACTTTATCAAAAATGAATAAATAAGTGCCGTCCACACACCGATATCATTTTCCCATGTTGTTTACATAGTGTGATATATAAAATCTTTCCTCTGATTGGTTTATTGTAGCTCAAGTCGTTACAATAGTCGCTGAAATTGGATTGGAACCAACTCAAGCGACTGTGCTTGCAAGCGTTTTGCGATCGAAAATAACCTTTCAATCGACCATTGTTACGACTCTACGACCGGATTCTATGACTTTACGACTCTACCACTGGTATTGTAGACGATTCTAACTTGAACGACAGCGATTACGATCTCTCAAGCGACTACCGCCACAACTCTACGACCATATTTTATGACTCTACGACCCCATTGTAGACGAGGCATTACTGTAAACGAAGTTTAACTCGTTAACCCTAGTTAAGACGAAAAATTGCGTTCCACAACTGCCTTAAACCATGGTTAACGTTGATTTCTCACAGTTAAAGTTAAACCCAAAACTTTGGGCGTTTAATGAATTTAAACGAAGTTTAACACTGCAGTACCATCAATTTGAAGAAAAAATTTATGACTCTCCCGGTTTTGGAGTTCAGTTGACAAATATTTTGAACATTTGAACACCAAAGAGATATGGCTTTAGAATACATATTGGCCCATATTCAGAACGCGCTAACAAAGATATTAGCGCACTAACAAGTTGAGATGTTAGCGCTCTACTCATACAGCACAGCACCGTTGCACCAACATTGCAGCAACGTTGTTTTGCAAGATTGCAACATTGCAGAAACGATGCGAAATGTTGCTGCAATGTTGCTGCAATCTTGCAGCAAAGGTAAAATGTCCGCTTGCAGCAATATTGCAATGAAATATTGCAATAACATTGCAGCAACATTTGTAATATAATTTGTATGCAATAATGCTTTATACAGGGTGAAGATAAAACCACGGGACCCCTGAAAATTTCGAAAAATATACACTTTATAAAAAAATGTTTCAGACAAAAGTTGTAGCGTTGAAAAGGATCTATTTACCGATCTTAACAATTTGACCTTGGGTGGCGTCATCAAGGTCAGGACAAGGTCATCTCGGATTTTTTAAATAGAACTCCCAATTTTTTATTGCATATTCTTATAGCCCTTCTTCAGACCTTTTCAGATTAATATGGTTTTATCCAATTTGAATAAGCTGTTCCGAAGTTATCGAGTTTTTTAAAGTAAGATATCTAGCCAACTAGGGCAAGATCGAAGGATGATCCGGCCAACTAAGGCAAGGTCGTAGGATGATCCGGCCAACTAAGGCAAGATCGGAAGATGATTCGGCCAACTAAGGCAAGGTCGGAGTGATCGAGCCACTAAGTCAAAATCGGAGGATGATCCAGCCAACTCATAAAAATAATTGCACGACTAACTTCCAGGCGTTGGCTCCTATTGGCTTGTCTTAATTTCGTTGATTGATTTATTTCAGTTATTTATTTATTTGAACTATTCTGCTGTTCGATGTTTATTTCTTCCATTTACTCATTTAATACTCATTACAGTTTAGTGAATCGCAAACTCGACTGAAATTTCTCTATTTTTTTGAAAATTATTAAGAAACAGTTTGAAGCTAGTTGTAAGCTGACTTAATTGCATTTCATTCTGTGCTCATTATTATTCTTCAGCACTGTCTTTAGAATAACTTTGAATTGATCCAAATATTAATTTAGTCAATTAGACTAAATCTTACCACTTCTGCTTGTCAATATGGCAAGTCTTTCAGAACGAGAACGCATATCTCTTTTGATGATGAGAGTATGGGATGATCGACTAAGGTCGTACAATGATGTGAGGCGGCTTTTTAATGAAATTTTTCGTAATCAGGGTAATGCCATTTCAAAATCTACCGTTGAAAGAACGATAAGGCGTTTTCAGGAAACTGTGAAAAATTGTGCAATACTAGGTAGCCCTGCTTAAAATGTCAGATAGAAAACGAAAATAAACTATAAAGATTTTATGTGACTTCAATAGTAATTTATGTGGCTTATGTGACACACTTTCTATAACGAAAGAAAATTTATCATAACGAATGTAATTTTATGATAAATTTTTCTAATGTAAACACAACGATAAGGAATCAATAGTTTTTTATATTAACATCAAACACATATCATTTTTAATATTTCAAAGCGCTATCAACAGCTATATATATCTATGTGAAAGAAACAAGGTTTTCTTTTATATAACATTAACGAAAGGTAATTTATAATATTCTATCGTAGCTCTATCACAGATTAATACTTATGACATTGAATTGAAAATTCACGATTGAATTTATCATTTCTTTTAATAGATCAACGATATTTATTATATATGTCCAAATATAGGTTATACTGTTGCATATCAATCGAACAACTTACAAAATTACGCATAGAAGTGCTATCGTTTCTTATCCGGAAAATACAAAGTTGGCTCTGCTGACAAATCACGGAAAGAATACTAATGATATTTTATCAGAATTTCGTCAAATGGTATTACCTATGTATTCCAATCACGATTTCACCATAGAGTCTACCGTTCCGTATGCGAGATTCATCACGAACACGTCTACGTTTCGGAAACGAATATCACATCTGTCAATGAATCGGTTCGTATGCACAAAGACGCATTGAAGTGCTATCGTTTCTTATCCGGAAAATACAAAGTTGGCTCTGCTGACAAATCACGGAAAGGATACTAATGATATTTTATCAGAATTTCGTCAAATGGTATTATCTATCTATTTCAATCACGATTTCACCATAGAGTCTACCTTTCCGTATGCGAGATTCATCACGAACACGACGATGTTTCGGATACAAATATCACATCTGTGAATGAATCGGCTCGTATGCACAAAGACGCATAGAAGTTCTATCGTTTCTTATCCGGAAAATACAAAGTTGGCTCTGCTGACAAATCACGGAAAGGATACTAATGATATTTTATCAGAATTTCGTCAAATGGTATTATCTATCTATTTCAATCACGATTTCACCATAGAGTCTACCTTTCCGTATGCGAGATTCATCACGAACACGACGACGTTTCGGATACAAATATCACATCTTTGAATGAATCGGCTCGTATGCACAAAGACGCATAGAAGTTCTATCGTTTCTTATCCGGAAAATACAAAGTTGGCTCTGCTGACAAATCACGGAAAGGATACTAATGATATTTTATCAGAATTTCGTCAAATGGTATTATCTATGTATTTCAATCACGATTTCACGATAGAGTCTACCTTTCTGTATGCGAGATTCATCACGAACACCTCGACGTATCGGATTTGAATATCACATCTGTGAATGAATCGGCTCATGCACAAGATGCACAAGACGCATAGAAGTACAATCATTTCTTTTCAAAAAATAATAAATTAATAGATTACAGAAAAAATACGTATACATTTTTTTTTCAATTTTTGTCGAGTGTTGCTAATTATGCAATATATACGTTCATTTTTATGGCCGTTAGGTAAATGTTTTAAATTATAAGTTGTTGAGCCGGACCTTAGTGTAGTAGTCGAAGTCAATCAATTAATAAAAATGCAGTTTATGATATAACATTCAAACATTGTTAAAATATGTAAGTATGTTTTATTATAAAATAATTACAATTATTCTGTTAGTAACTAGTAACTATGATATTTTTTATTATAGTTGTAGAAAAGTAAATAAAATGCATTGTTCTACAAATGCTATGTGTTGATTATAAGAAAACAACAACACTAGCTATTTTGACAAAATAACCTTTTTAATACGCAAGTGACAGGGACATCGTTCCAGCGAATCGTATAGTATGCCAACTTTTTTGGGTTTATATATTATAAACGGTAATAATTATTGAACTTCAAACACATTTGGAGGAATACACACGTACATATTATCTTTTACATCTATATATACTACTTTACATTTTATTGTTTCCAAAGGCACAATCTTCCTGATTTGTGACGTATTTCTATTATTCCGTACACGCATAATATGAGTGATATTATAATTCGGCTCTACTTCATACTCTGTAAGTAGCAAGTAACATTTATTTTTAAAATAAATAAAACTCAATATTTGAGCTATAGCGGATGATTTTAGTTTAATGACAGTATCGTTATGTTTTTGTGGTCGTTCATACAAGGTACTGTGGAAAATAATATTATTATAAACACATCTATCATATATTTTGACGATATCTGTATTATTTTCGAAACTAATATTTCTTTTAATAAAAGTTTTTAAATCTTCAAAACCGATTTTCTCTCCTATTAGGACAGCACCACATTCACTTATGTTATGTTGCATTACTAATTTTCGGGGAGTAAATAAACTTTTACAATAAAGTTCACATGTTTCCTTCTTATTATTTATTATAATATTTCCAAATGTATTTCTTTGCAACATTTTCGTTGCTATTTGAAAAAGTAGTCCATTAGGGCCATGGATATTTTGTTTCAAATGAAAAATACCATTTTCATATGGAAATGCGGAGGTAGCCCATAATGGACCACTCATACGAACACTTTGAACTACATGTAACAATGAGTGAATATTAAAAGTCATAGCGCCTTTACCATATAAAATTTCGGTTTCTCCAACAAAACGCGTTAAATCTATTTCACATTGTTTCAAACCTTCTTTTGAAATATTGCGAAAGAAGAACATTAATACTTCGTACTAAAAGTATAAACGAAGCTAACGCATTATCATTTAAAATACCTGTGAGACATGGCACACTATAAAATAAAGTCCATGAACGCCATTCACTCGCCTTAAGTTTACCTTCTTTCAACGCTCGCGGTAAACGATGTATTTCTTTCGGAGGCTTTATATTCAATAACCTTTTATCAATACAGTCTCGTTGTTGTCGTGATAAATAAAATGAAGAACTAGGAGAGTTCCATTCAGCCCACATTTGACGCACAGCTCCTAATAATACACCGTGCATATATTCAACAGGAAATCTCCATACACAATCAAAATATTTCAATTTTGTCAACACCTTTAACACCATTAACTGCTCTTTGTGTATCCTCAACTTCTTGTATGTCTGTTAGATATGTTTCATGATTTCTTTGTAAATCGTCTTCTGTAAAAGGATATCGCATAGAACCATAAATATGCTCGCCATTTGCATAGCACCAACTACAACCAAAATACCCATTAAATTGATATCGATTCTGCATTATAGGGCGAGCGACAGAGTCTACTGAGGCGCATAAGGGCCGTAAAACAAATGTAATGTTTTTATTATTGTTATCCAATATAGTGATACCATTGTTAATTAATTCTTCTATCTGTTCAATGAAAGTCTGTAAATATAGATTCATAAAGTCTGCTTTGGGTTCTTTTTTACCCATCCATAAACTTGCTAAGATTAAAGTTTTAAATCTTTATTTGGGTGGTATCTCATTTAATAGTAACAGGATGGGCCAAATACTACTTTTACTACTGTTGAAGACAGGAAAACCATCTGTATTAAAGTTAAAAGTTAAAACTCTGTTTTTGATTTTGTGCAATATCTTTGTACAAATGACAATCGTATACATCCGAAATATGATTTGTTTCCTTCAATTTAATGTTTATGTTATCCATATTATTCATCAAAATTTCTTGCATATTTTTATCTTCTAATAAAGTGCGTATTTGATATTCAACATTAATAGATAAAAAATAATTTAAAGACTTACTAGAAATTTGATATCGTTTTCCACACTGATGGCACGTTGCATTTTTATTTTGACTAATATGAGTTTGAGAGAGTGGATGTAACAATACCTTATAACATTGTTCACAATAAAATATATACGATATGGTGTCATTGGGCGGATTGTACTTTTTCGATATTGCATATTTAGTAATATTAACATGACTAAATTTTGGCCCAGCTAAAATTTTGATCAAATTCAATAGAGCATGTCTAGATTCATCAGAATGGTGATAACGTAAACATAAAGCATGGACCATTATATATACTTGAGAAATTGACAAACCGGCAGCTCCAAACATGATAGTATCATCATTTGTACCATAATTTTTGTTTGAAGTTACAAACAAATCAAAATCATCCTCGGTAATAAAATTATTATTCTCCATTTCATCATTTCATCAGGACATATTTCTATCACATTCTTCTTTTTCAGAGTTCTCATAGTGTATAATTTCGTTCCAATTTCTAGTATCTTCATTTTCATTTGATGAGACATCAATTGCTGTGGTGTTTAACTCATATTGTGACCTTTGATTTAAATCTGTCAATGTCCCAACTGCTTCCTCATTTCGCAGTTCCGAATGTTCCAATATGGTATTTCCTGTGTGTTATTATAAAGTATATTATTATAAATGTTATTGCATGGAATTGATTACACATTACTAAATATATACAGTCTTAATTCCAGTCTTAATTATTAAATATACATCCAAATATATACTAAATATATCCAAATATATAAATATTCATTACTCAGATAATCGAATAATATGAATGACACTATTCACACTATTTGTGGCATAAAATATCTGAATACCCGGATAACATCAGTGACAAATTTTATTCGTGATGAAATATTATATTCGAATGTTCTACGATCTGAAAAACGATGATTCGGATTTAAATCGTAGCATATACGCAAATGTATATACAAATTTATTAACCTTTTGTAACATGTGTCATCCATCGTTGATATGTTTGACGATTCACTTGCGATGCTTTGAACTCTGGTTCCAAAAAAGCTTTGTAGCTCTTCTTTTTCTTGGAGTTTGACATGTTGAATGGTGTCAACTATGCTTAAGACGATCTTGAATATAAGATCCGTCTATAAATAATAGATGCTAAATAAGAATAGAACGATGTCGCGAGCGTTACAAGTATGAAATGGATATACTTTAAAGCCAGTAGGTCTGTTCGTTTTCGCTGCACTGCTGAACTGGTGCAATAAGTTAAAGTGAGACAAATATAGATTTTCTCACTCTAACTTATTACACTAGTTCAGCAGTGCAGCGAAAACGAACAGACCTAGTAGCACATTAAGGGTGCGTTCCGTTTCACGTATATGCGCGCATTTTTTATAGTATATGTAACATAAACTATAGATAAATGCGCGCATATGCGTGAAACGGAATGCACCCTAATAGTTGGCTGCGTTCTGATATTTATAACCTATACTGTTCTGATATTTATAACCTATACTGAAAATCTACAGTTTGCGTATATATTATAGATTTCCAGTACCGGCAATGAATATCGGAATGCAGCTTATATTTATATTCTGATTAGTCCATTCCTAGAAAGGACAAGAACGAATCAGAGGAGACTAGTCAGCTCCCCCCCGTGGGCGCCACCTTGTCGTGGTGGGGGGGCTGCGTGCCCTGATGATGTACAGAGCTGTGCCGGCGGGGGCTTCGGCCCCTGGCAGGTTCTACTATGCCGGAGAGGTCTGTACAGAAGGGCCAGACTAAGACCATAATATTCCTGGATGGGCAGCTGCCTCCAGGTTTTATCCAGGGTCTGGAGGATCTCATTCGTGGGGCCCAACGAGACCCTACAGCGCGGGCAGAGCGGGCTCGTTAGCCTTGGCAGGCAACCGGTCTAGGGGAAGGAAAACCCCGAAATCACACCCGTGTTGCAGGAGCACGTAAAACCTCTGCTTTTACGGAAGTATGTTTACCAAGGAGAAAAGCGCCCCGGTGCTCGGAGCCGGGGCACGGCGGGAGGGGTTGCATCGTCCCGGCACCCCCCCCGTCGTCATCAAGCGACGGGTTGGGCGGCGCGTGCCAGGCGGGCGCGCCGCCGGAACTTGCTACTGCCCGCAGAGAGGCCTCGCAGAGATGGGGGGAGCTCTTCCCGGGGGAGGAGTTCTCTCCTGCCGAGGACGAAGAGCCCTCGGCAGGAGGGGCTCCTCTCCATAACGCGCGGGAGGGAGGAGCTAGGGGTGTGCGTTCTGGCCGCCACCAGTGGGGTCTTCCGCCCGTGCGGAAGCCCGCTGCTATGGAGGCGTTGCCCGAGCGGGCCCAGGACGGTATTGACTACGTCCGGTCCGTTCGGGTGGATCCCTCGCTGAGGGCCGCCAAGGGCTATGGGAAGTTCTTGGAGGACCTCAATGAGGATTTCAGAGAGAGCCTCCTCTGCATAGAGGAGGCTCTCGATGATTATAAGAGGAAGGCGAGGGAGGATGGCCCTGATGGACGACTTGGGGCCCTGGAAGTGCAAGTCCGGGGCCTCAAGTCCGAAATCGCCCGCATTAGGCGGCTGCTGGAGAGGCTCTTGCCTTCTCCAGCAGCGGCAGCTGCGGGCAGCGGGGCCACCTTCTCTCGCCCCCCTCCACGGCAATCGGCGGCCGAAGGGGAGGGGCGTGGCGGATGTCCACCCGCAAGGGGAAGGGTAAGGGAGGGAAGGGTGAGCGGACTGACCCTCCTTTGCCAAAGGGTGGAAGTACCGTGAAGAAGGCGGTACTTCCTCCCAAGGGAGGGAAGGCTGGAGGGAAGGGGGCCCCGAAGAAGGGACCCCCTTCCGCCTCTAAGAAACCACAGTTGAGGGTCTCCCCGCGCAACCCGGTCGTAACGGTGACCGCGTTGCCGGGGGGTCCCTCAATAACAGAGGTAATAGCCAAGGCGAGGCTCCAGGTTGACCTGCAGGAGATCGGCCTGGAGCCTGGCAGTTTTAAAATAAAAAGGGCCAGGAATGGGGGGTCATCCTGGAGGTCCCTGGCCAGAACGGTCGGGATAAAGCCGACCGCCTGGCTAGGGACCTTCAGGATGCTTTGCATGGAGACGTCGTGGTCTCGAGGCCGAGATGAGGAGGACGGAGCTCCGCCTCGTCGGACTGGAGGACTCGGTGACGAAGTTGATGGTCCGGGCAGCGATCTTGAAGACCACAGGTTGTCCCCCGGACGATCTCCAGATCGGGGAGATCAGGAGGTCGTCCGGGGGACTAGGGGGGGTTTGGGTCCGGTGCTCGTTGGCACCGGCCCAAAAACTGGTGGCAGCCGGGGGGCTGATCATCGGATGGGGAAAGCGCAGGTACGAGTACTGGAAGACCGGCCCCTTCAGTGCTACAAGTGCTTGCATTATGGGCATATGGCGGCGACCTGCCAGACCGATAATGGTCTGGCAGGCCGCTGCTTTAGGTGCGGAGGGGTCGGTCATGTGGCACAGAGGTGCACCGCTGAAGTGCGGTGCCCCCTGTGCCACAAAGAGGGGAGGGATGCTGGCCACCGAATGGGTGGCCGGGCGTGCAGGGCAGTCCCCCGAACTGCCCCAAGAGGGGGGGGTACCTCCTCTTCGCAAGAGGAGAAGAAAAAAGAAGAAGGTGGCACGCGGGGAGGTTGCGGCTGAGGTTCGGCCGCGGCCTCCTAGCGATGTCGCCGAAACGGCGAAACGATCGGTCGCCGGTCCAAGCCGGACCGAAGGGGTAGGGATGGGGGCGACGGAGGCCGGAGAGATCCAGCCTCCGCCGCCCACAGATCAGGTAAGCCCGGCGACAACAGGAGCGACGGCCGCTCCCAGAAAGCCGGACCTACCCTCGGCGAATAGGCCGAGGGGGGTCTCCGAGGCGGAGACCATGGAGGTTGAGGCCTCAGTCTCCCTCCTAGCGGAGGCGGGGTGGGAGGAGTGGGGGGGGGTAATGAGCACGAGTAGCTCTCCCCACCCACTCCCTCATCCCAGGCCCATGGGATCTGCCGGTGCGGTAGTGGTCTCGCAGTGCTAGAGGCCCCCGCACCGGGACCCATGGGCCAGGTAGGAGCGGTCAGGGGTGGGCCGACCCCTTGTGGGAACACCCCTGACCGCGCTAGGAGGGACAGCCTCCTCCCAGGGTGAGACCCCCGACTCCGGTTTTTGATACGGAGAAGGAGGGAGTCCTGGTGGGGAAGACCCACCCCCCGGGTGGGTGCTGTAGGGTCCCCCACGGTTCCTCGCCGAGGGGGGGTTGGGGGGGCCCATTGGGACCCCCACACACCTTTCCCCCCGTGGGCGCCACCTTGACGTGGTGGGGGGGCTTGCGTGCCTTGATGAGGTACAGAGCTGTGCCGGCGGGGGTTTCGACCCGTGGTAGGTTCTACCATGCCGGAGAGATCTGTACTGAGAGGCCAGACAAAGAGCGTCCTTATTCACTCTCGGAGGGGCAGCTGCCTCCGAGTTTCATACAGGGACCGGAGGACCGTACTTGTACGATCCAAAGGACCCTACAGCGCGGGCAGAACGGGCTCGTGAGCCGGGTGAAGGCAACCGTTCTAGGGAAAGGAAAACCCTGATTGCAAACCCGTACTTGTCAGGACGTATAACCCGACACAATTGCGAGGGGCCAGGGTGCTTCGGCATTCTGGTACAGGGGGCTCAGGCATCCCCGGCAGACCCTAGCCTACTACATCGTAACCCTAGGTCATGTCTCTGGGGCCGGGGGTCTTGCCTTAATTGGCCGGACCGCGAGGCGGGTCCTTTATAAAACACCACGTAATCCTACGGTTGAGGCATGCCACGCTTATGGGATGAATGGCAGATGCGTGACCTGTCGCTAGTGGTTCCTCACCCTGGGCACCTGGCGAACCCAGGGGACATGCCTTACCCCGGGTAATGCGGGGGCTCTACCCGGGGTCGACGCCCACTTTCCGCCGTTCTCGTGGGACTCAAATGGATTCTCAAATTTTTAAAAAACAAAACTCCGAGCTCTCGGGCTCTGAGCCCTTGGGCTCAACGATCCTAACGGACGGGCGTAGCAGCCCGTCCATGGATCGACCACCCCTCGTGGGTGATTTTTCAGTAGGGATGGGGGGTTTGCAAGAGGTGGAGAGAATCCGCCAGGCGGAAGCCTCCTCCCCTCCCCCCGGGGAGGATGAGCCAGCAGACTCCAGGGGGCTAGCCCCTGGAGGGCTGCCTAAAACCGAGGACCGACCACCGTCCTCAACACAGCACCTCCCTGACCGCGGGGATAGTGCGGTGAGCCCGCCGGCCACCCAACGAGGGATGTGTATGTCCCTGGGGTCCGGGACTCCTGTGGGCCAGGGAGACCCGGTACCAGGGGCCAACAGGCCAGCCCTCCTCTCCAAGAAGGGGGCTGTCCCTAGCAGAACACTGGGGACAAAAAAGGAGACCCCCAAGGATGTGGGGTCCGGGGCAACGAATGTGGGAGGAGGGGTGTCCGGCCGGGCGACCGGTAAGCTGGTTGTCCGTTCGGACGTGATTCTTTCGCAGGGCTCCCGGATTCCAATCAGAAGGTGTACTGTTGCCTTAGATGCAAGGCTGGCCCAGCCGACAATCGCGAAGGCAGCCACCGGGGGAAACACCACCGGGACAGGGAAATCGCCCAAAGCGGTGAGGACTAATAGGGCCTCAACGCTTAGAGAACAGGCGACAACAGTGGCGGCAACAGCGACTGCAAAGGCCGAGGAGGCCTTCCAAGTGGGAAGGAAGAGAACGAGGAGCCGAATGTAAACACCAGCAGCTATAGAGGGTCCTCTATGGCAGAGATAGCCGCTCCTCTCCTGATCCCTCCTCTGAAGAAAAGAGGCAGACCTGCCACTACCGGCAAATGAGTGGGGATCAAGGAGAGGAAAAAAAGAGGCGCAGGAAAGGAGGCAGGAGGAGCTTCGTCAGTTGGAGGCCGAGGCTCGTGACCAACTCGACAGGGGGATCTTTCATTCAATGAAGGATGCCCGCCCTGCCGAGGGGGTCTATCGAGATCCGGCGTCCACCGAGCTGCTCAGGGGGGCAAGGACGGCCGAACTCGCCTCGGAGGTGGGCTGTGCACTGGGCGCGGTAAAAATGATAGCCCAGAGGTCTAAGACCCTTAAGGGTACATATATTGGGCTGATCAACCGCGCCTTGGCCACCTCCGAGGCAGTGATAGCCACCCTTATAGCAAGGGTGGCGGTAATGGAGGGGGAGGAGGAGGGGTCCTCCTCTACCCTCCGGAAGGAAATGGAGGGTTTGAGGGAGGAA